GTAAGTTGATAATCTAGTTTCATTTTTTTAGCATGTATTTGACCAATTTTCCCAGCACTATTTAATGAAGAGACTATATTGATTCCATTGTATGCTCTTGCTTCCTTTGTGAAATATTAATTGAGCATAATGAGTTGGGTCTATTTCTGGGTTCTCTGTTCTATTCCATTGGTCTATATGTCTGCTCTTGTGCCAGTACCAGGCAGTTTTGAGAACTGTGGCCTTGTAATATAGCTTGATATCTGATATTGTGATCCCTCCAACTTTGTTTCACCCATTTGTTTTTTGCATTCATTTGTTCATATTAATTGAATGGATATAGTATATCTTTGGCTAGTATGGCTAGATAAATAATAAGCACATGAATATATATGATAAAGGTTTAATAGCTCCTACCATCATGAAACTTATATTTAATACTAAAATAAATAAATAAATAGATAGATAGATAGATATTTTATCATTTATATGTATACCAAGTAACTCAGAGCTCTCATTTTTGTCTTTTTTTTGTATCATTCTTGAAAATAGCATAATAAACATATTCCATATATTTCCAGATGGAGCCATCAACAACCCTTTTCCCCTGCCCCCAATGCCCAGAGAAAAGGTGCTCTGGTAGGGATGTGTCTAAGTGGGGAGATAGATGATTCTTCCCATTGTCTCTGGCAGGGTCCCCTCCCAATGTCAGGTCTCTGTTGCCCAGTCACTCCATTGTGAGTATGTAGGGTGGGGCTGAGGTTTCTCAAGCTTTGATTCACCCTCAGAAATGAGTCTTGCCTGTTCCCTCCCTTCCCTGATGGAGTCACGGGAACACACCTGCTCTCAGGTGTCTGCTTCCTAAGGATGGACGATGCAGAGCCTGGCTTTCTCGTTTTAATACACCAGGGCCCTCAGAGGATGAGAGAGCAGGGGCAAGACTCAAGATGGCCAGGTGACAGTCCCGAAGACAGACTGGGTGTTGGGGGTATGAGCAGGGACTAGAGTCACCATTCCATACCTGTAGGAGTTGTTTACATGTGGTGATTGACTCCAGGAGTACAAAGAAGTCTTCCCTTTTTGTCCTTCTTTTAAAGAACAGTTCACTCCGTCTGGAAATCAGTCATGGCAGATTTAAAAGACTTGACTTGGTTTTATGGAAGAAACAATTAGCTTTCTTCATAGAGTATTGTGCAAACTATATATGGAGGTGTTTTATGAGGTTTAACGACTAATAAAAATGCACCTGTGCCTGACAGTGTGAGGACCAGGGATCCGTTTGGGTGTCTTAGAGCAGGGAGGGAAGACAAACTTGATAGGAAAGAGAGCACTTGAGTGCCAGGGAGGAGGGCACGAGGGAGACTTGTACAAGAGATGGGAGCCACTGGAACCAACGCCTTAATTTTGTCATTAACTTAAACTCTGCTACGAAGCAGTCCAGTGGTTCAGTCACTTCAGCTAACTGAAAATAGCTGTGAAGTCAGGAGACCAATGAGCCAACCCTGGCTTTGACATTAGCCTCTGTGACGTTGAGCAGAGCATATCTCCATTCCAACTCTCAGTTTCCCCCTCTATAAAATGGGGATCATGTGGCCAACAGGAAAGCTGAGTGCCAGCTTTGAAAAGTTGAATGTGTTGGATGCAGACCAACTTGATGTTGTCTTAGATATTTATGACCTAGAGGACACTGCTTCTTCAAGGCCAGCCATGTTTAGGTCTCTATCCCAGCCACCCCTGGAATAACCTCTGAGATGATAGTTGTGTTATAAGCCAAGTTGTATCACTAGCTAGAATTCTTAAAATTAAACAGGGGTTGTTTACTGATCAAGTAAGAGGCCAAGGAGCAGATTGGGAGGAATAAAGACTTGAATGTATTCCAGAGGAGCTATGAGATGACTGAGATATGAGGGAATGGCACCATTTATTCACTCAAACCCAGCACACCTACACTCATGCATTCTAGAGGCCAGGCACGTGAAAATGCTTTGATTTATGTCCACATCAGATCTGTCTTGCTGCATGTTTTCCTTTGGAGATTCTGCGTGAGGATGAACATAATAATGTGGGAGCATGGAAGTGAGGGGCACAGGCAGAGAGGGTGTTCATTTCCAAGATGAAATAGAGATCCTGGAATCTGGAGCCATTCTTAAAGGTGATAGGCCTGGGAGGAGGTAGAAGAGGAGGCATGGCCTGGAAGGGGAATTAAGGCTTAACCTCAAAGGTTTAACTGGCCCTGAAAAATGAGCAATATCCGGTCTGTATATGACAGAAAGCTCAGGCAAGATCATTAGTCTTGGTCCCCACCCAGTGACAGTCTCTTGTCCACCAAGGAGATGCTAGCCACTGTGATACTGTGGAAACAATCTTAGAGCAAAGGTTCCCCACCCAACTCTGCCCATTGGTTGAGCAGTCAGTTAACTTTCCTGGGTCTACTTTTTTAAACTGTATAATCTAATTTAAGCTACCTAACAGAACTGCTATGAAAATTTGGAAATGGTTTAAAAATTACTTTCTATCATTTCTCAGGCAGCCTTACACTTTGCTCGACAATAATGGAAAAGAGCACATTGGTCTTTAGTCGGTGGGATCCTGAGGTTCTGGGCAGTGGTCCAAAGGGGATCAGCCTCCTAGAGCACAGGGACTAGGAGGCCAACTGGAGGATCAGAGCTCTTTCCTCCCATCTGAATATGGTTGCCAGATTTAGCAGGTAAAAATACAATCTGCCCTTTTACAGGTGATAAACAACAAGTGCTTTTGTCATATATTTCATGCAGTATTTGGGACATTCTTATGCTAAAAACAAAATTTGTTGTTTATCTAAAATCGAACTTGCATACTCTGTATTTTATCTGGCAGCCCTAACCCAAAGGTCAAACTCTATCCCTCCTTCTTTGACCACCATCGATACCCATCAGTCCCTGATTCCGGTCGGGGACACAGCACCACGATGATTAAGCATAGGGGCACCACTCACATTCTTCTGCTTGTGCTCAGTGAGAAGATGAATAGAAGCCTATGCAAAAGGTCCTTGCTAGATTGGGAAGCCCACAACATTGTGTAATGGGGCAGGGCTGGGGGACTTCTCCCTCTATAATGTTTAAAACTATAGATCTTCCCATCTGAGTTCAAATCCCACCTCTGCTGCTTACTACTTAAGGGATCCTTCCCAGTCTCACTTTTCTCACCTGTAAAATGGGAACAATGGCATTTGCCTTAGAGGGGCAATAAAGACAAATTGAAGCAACAGCATGAGGGTTGATCTCAGCACAAGGCACCAGGGAGTGCTCAATGAATGGCAGCAAGGATGATGTTCATATTTTAGTTAAAAGTGCCCCAAGGCACTCCTCTTTCTCCTTCTTCCTTGATGTTTCTTACAAACCCTCACATTTGTTCTATTTTCAAAAGATCTTGAGTCACTGAGTTTGAGCAAAGGCCTTATGTGGGTGACGTCAGCTCTGAAAGACGGGGACCCACAATGCTAAAATATCTGGTGGGTGTTTTCCGTCAAAACAGTCTAGTCTAGTAAAGCAAGTCCCTAGAGGAAGTGCAGGTGGGAGAAGTGGGTGAGGAATTGCCTGGGAGGTGGTGATCAGGGCCACGCCAAGTGCCTGGGGCAGCTTGGGGGCCTTTATAAGGTTGCCAGGAGTGGCTGGCCATGAACCTCACTCAGCCTCCTCTCCTAGGGTCCAGCTTGTGGCTCCGGTAAGTGGGAACGCATTTATCCTCCTGGGATCTTCGGGGTCCTTTCCTCTTTCTTGAACTATTGGGAGCCGTTAGGCCACTCTCCTCTTCTTTCTCAGGTAGTCAGGAAGTGGCCTAAGCCTTGTGACAGTTAAGGAAATGTCACTCTAATTATTGCTTAGGAAATTCAGTCTCCATTCTCCATTCTATTCCGCTGCTAGGTGCGGCTAATTTTCTGATTCTGGGTTTTAACTCCCTGGCAAGAGGATGTTTCCCATTGAGGGGATATATTTAGGGCTGTAGCATTTTTGTGCCAATTCTGGTTCGTCTTCAAAGCTTTCTCCTGCTCTTTTGGCACTATCAAACTTTGCTTTTGGTTTTATAGAAATCATATTTTATATATCATATTTTATAATATGCAAGCTTCCTTGTCTCACTATCATGATTGCCCGCTGGGATCTGTATTTCCCATATCTCACTGATCTCAAATTTGGAAGGTGAGGAATGCTGCCTACAGAGGAAACCAAAGATGCATGTCAGCACCACGAAGGCCTCAGAGGCCCCATCTTCCAGAGCTGATATCTTTATCAGCATCCTCCAGATAAAGGCATGGGGTGCAGGTTGCCCTGAGGTGTGCCTGGCCAGTGAGGAGCCAGTACTTTTTCCTCTGAACCAGCTGCCTCTTGGTGAAACATCTTCCTTTTAAGTCTCTTATCTATTTGGCCTTAAATAACCAAGTTTTCCTTGTAGGGCTAGAACCACAATCTCACAGCCAAGTTAAGTGGGGAGGTAGGGATGGAGCTGCAATTAGAACTCAGTCCTCTGAGTACTTGGAACAGGGTTTGTCCAGTCCATCATGGACACACACTTCCCTCTGAGACCAAGACTGCCTTTTCTTTCTGCCCATCTATCTTGCCCACATTCATTGCACTACCCAAGGCAACCAGCTGACATTACCAACCCATCAGCTAAGAGTTCATGCCATGATCTTACAAAATGTCTAGGCTACCTTCTGATCATCAGTTGAGCACCCCAACATATTTTCTGGTAAGACTTAGGAATATACTATGTATTCCATTAAGTCAAGAACCCATGGGGAGATGAAGGAAGATAAGATATCAAAACAACATAGAAGAGAAAGAAAAGGAAAGAGGGGGATGGCAACAATGGGTGTATGCAAATCAATCCACTAACCAATTTGAGGCCATTAATCACTTATCACATTCTTGGCTGGTGGATAAAACACTCTTCTCCATGTCAGAAGGGAGAAGAGATAGGGGGCGTACTTCTCATGGTATCCCGTGCCCGGGTTTCTTTCAGGCTCACCTGTTCCTGCAGCAATGTCTTCCCAGCAGCAGCAACAGCAGCAGCAGCTGCCCCAGAAGACCCAGCAGCACCAGGTGAAACAGCCCTGTCAGCCACCGCCTGTCAAATGTCAAGAAACGTGTGCTCCCCAAACCAAGGATCCATGTGCTCCACAGGCCAAGAAGCAATGCCCACCTAAGGGCACGACCACCCCTGCCCAGCAGAAGTGCCCCATGGCCCAGCAAGTCCCCCAGTGTAAACAGAAGTAAGGATCAACTGGAATACCACCTGCTTGACATCTAGGCTACGAGACGGGGCCTTCTTTCTTCCAGCTCCTCCCCCGGGTTCCAGGATTTCCCCTTCTCTCCCACTTCCTCCTACCCTGGGTCAAATGAAGCAATTGTTGGAAGTTCTTCCCACTGAGATCTTCACACACCTCACCTTGCCTCCAAGTCTTCTACCTATCACCCTGATACACTCTCAGGTGGATATGAGAAGGCCTCTTTCTCTCCAACCTCCGGCTTGACCACAGCTATGGTGCATCCATGGGCCAAAGCAAAGAGTGTATCTGGGCTTCTTCCAGGCTTCCAACCTGATTAGTATGGATACCAGAGACCGATGCACAGCTTCGGCCTCCTTTTCCTTCCCAGCTCCCTTTCCCTTAGCTTCTTTCTTATTTCCTCCCCTAATAAAACTGTGTTTCATGTCATTGTCTGTTTCCTGGCTCTAGTCTGTGATCTTTCATTTATTCAGAGAGGATATTTGGGGGAAGTGAGTGTGTGAGCAGACTCATGCATAGACATGCATCCTAATGGGCAGAGTTGCTCTCCAATGACCAATGATAGGAAGGTCAGATCTTGATGCAGCTCAGGTACAGAGAGAAAGCCCAGAGACTAGCTGACAAGAGTCTGGGACACTTGCCCTGGCTGGGTAGCTTAGTTTGGTTAGAGCATCATCCCAATATGACATATATGTGTGATATCATGTGATATTTGTCTTTCTCAGACTGGCTTATTTTGCTTAGCATAATAATGTGATAAGGGGGTAATTTCAAATATATATATTTCATACAACTCAACAAAAAGGAGACAATTCAATAAAAAATGGACAAAGGTCCTGAATAGACACTTCTCCAAAGAGGACATACAAGTAGCTGATAAACATGAAAAAAATGCTCAATGTCACTAATCATCAGAGAGATGCAAATTAAAATCTCAGTGAGATATCACCTCACACCTATCAGAATGGTTATCATCAATAAATCAACAAACAAGTGCTGGTGATGATATGGAGATAAGGGAACCCTAGTACAATGCCGGTTGGAATGAAGACTGGTGCAGCCACTATGCAAAACAGTATAAACTTTTCTCAAAAAATTAAAAATGGAACTGCTGTTTGATCCAGCAGTCCCACTTCTGAGAATATGTTCTAAGAATCCTGAAACATCAATCAGAAAGAATATATGTTCACAGCAGCATTATTTACAACTAAAAGCCCAGTGCACGAATTCGTGCATGGGTGGGGTCCCTATGGGTGGCCTGCAGGGATCGAGCTGAAACTGCAGACTAATGCTGCCTGAAGCTCCTACCTGCTGTTCCTACTCATCTTGGCCCCACTGTGCCTGCCTAAGGCTCATGCCCAATCAGTTCCAATCAGGAGAGGCTTGTGCTGCTGCAGCAGCAGCCAGCCATGGCCCTATGCCTGGCTCCCTCCCAAGGGGAATGGCCTGCAGGATGGGGCTGAAACCAGCTCTCAGACATCCCCCAAGGGATCCTGGATTGCGAGAGAGCACAGGCCAGGCTGAGGGACCCCATCGGTGCATGATCAGGCCAGGAAGGACCACAGGAAGGCTCCAGGGCATGTCTGGCCCTTCTCGCTCAGTCCGAATGGGCCCAGATCCCAGGAGCAAGCTAACCTACCAATTGGAGCATCTGCCCTCTGGTGGTCAGTGTACATCATAGTGAGGTTGAGCAGCCTAAGCATATCATTAGCATATTATGCTTTGATTGGTTATTTGGTTGTTCTGCCGTTTGGTCTATTTGCTTATTGCCCTTTTATTATATCAGATAGCTAAGATCTGGAAACAGCCCAAGTGCCCATCAGCAGGTAAGTAGATTAAAAAAAAAAAAAAAGCGGTGATACATTTATACAATGCAGCTATAGTTTTAACCAGAATCTCAAGTGATTCTTACGCTTAGGTCAGTCAGAGAAACACTCCTCACCAATGGGTATTGGGTCTTAGAAACTCACCAATTGCTGCCTATTTCTCTGCCAAACTTCAAGCTTGACATTTGGTTGTCACTCAGCAACATGTGTTAGACAAATTACTGACTACTTCACAAACCAAGGAAATTGTGAAATGTTCCAAATCACTGGAGATGAGTTTCTAACAATTCATGTATTTCTGATCCTAAGGAGATGAAATGCACTGACATCTTGTATCCATGGAGTATACTCTAGTCACTGTAATAGCTACTTCACATATGTAATCCCATTTAACATTATCATTTCTAATATATGGGCAAGATAAACTGAGATGCATAAAGGCCTTGGAGTTATAGTATTGGATTTGCATCGTGAACGTGACACCTATTTGCCACATAAACTTGAGCAGGTGTCTTATTTGCGCTTCAACTTCCACATCTGTAGAATGGGTTTAATGATCTATTCCTAGTACTGCTCTCGTGACAATTAGCATCAATGTTCAGAACAAAGTCTAACACCTTGTGGGTGCCAATCAAATCAGAGCTATTGTTATTAAGAAATTTTCCCAATATCATAAACACACAGCTAGGAAGGAACAGGGGCAGAATTTGAACCCAAGGCTTTATGTTTCCACACCTGTGACCTATAGAGGCCACTCTGTACTCTGGAGGTGCTAGCTCTCAGAGGTGGATCAGGGGAGCTGGCACAGCTGAACAAACAAAGGCCAGACCAGCACCTACAAAGTGTAGTTACCTACAGTGGGGTTCTGAATTCTCTGTGGGAAATGCTTAGCTGTGTGCTTATCAACAGCCCAAGAGGCGATGAATGATTGAGGGGGAGCACACCTATTATATGGCCTAAACCACCCCAAGTTCCATTTTAAACTCCACTAAAAAATAGTTGTCTACCTGTGTCTTTCAATAGTCCATACCCTGGGAAACTTTATGTCTAATTGATAATAGATAAGCAACTTATCACTTCAACTGTGCAGGACCATCAGGACCCGGTCAATGTCTCTTCTGAGAGTAGTCCCCAACCTATAGAATGGCCCATGTTTTACTCATATTGAGAAGCAATGTGGCAGAGTTGCTAAGGGACTGTATCTGGATTCATTCTATCTTTATAACCTCTTGGGAGAGTTACTTAACATTTTTCTGCCTCAGTTTCTTTATCTAGAGCATGTTCAGGCCATTGTATAATCACCAGAAACTTTAGCCACTCTCTGTGTCCCCACTCAAATAATGGACTTTGCAGTCATTGCCACTATCCAATAACTCACAGTAAAATCTGGCCAATATGTACTCCTAAAAGTGGAAAAAGAGAAGGTAGTTATAAAGCGCTCTTCTCTTTCTCTCTCTCTCTCTCTCTCTCTCTCTCTCTCTCTCTCTCTCTCTCTCTCTCTCTCTCTCTCTCTCCTCTCCTCTCCTCTCCTCTGTCACTCTCTCTCTTTCTCATACACATACACACAGCTGAGCAACCCTGGGAGATGGCCTTCCCATTAGAGGCCATTGGTTCCCCCCTTTTTTTAATGTGGGGAGTTTGTAGGACTGGATTCACCAGCTTGGCTAACCTTGATAGTGAATCAAAGCTTATCAGAAGGGGAGAACAGACTTAACACCAGCCACTGAGTACATGTCAGACAAACAAATGGAGGTCAAGGGAAAGTTCCAAAGTCAGAGCCGGAGCCAGAGCAGTGTGGGTGGAGAGAAGGAAGCCCAGGTGGGGACAGGAGAGCCTGGCCAGTGCGGGTATGGGTGACGGGGAAGCTTTTATCCAGAGCCAAGGCCAAAGAAGGGCACAGGGGACCCAGCTTCAGAGCAGGTTCTGATCCTCAGGGATGAGACAGCTGGGTGGGGACAGCAGAGGAGCAGAAAGCAGCTTCCTTGGGGCTGAGTATTACACCAGGCTTTTCCGGCTGCTCCCTCTGATAATAGATAAGCAGTTGATCATTTCACCTTATAACCCAGGTGAACAGTTCCTCCTCCTCATTCCTCTCCACTGTCACACTTAAATATTTGGGGAGCACCTGCTGGCTCCCCAGCTGAGTCACCTCTTGTTAACTGCAGTCATGGGTCAGCCTCCCACTTTGTCCCTACAACCATTGGTCCACATCCATCCGTACACACGGTGCCCGGTGGGCAGTAGCCGCACAGTGAGCTTGTGATTACAGAATGACTGAATGAATGAATGAATGAATAAATTAATGAATGAAGGTCCTGGGGGGCTATTGGGTGGAGAGAGGGCCTGGCTCATGTCTAGAGAGGAGCTAATGCGAGGGGAGAGGCTTGGAGCTCTCTGTGGCCACGGTGTTGGTGAAAGCCCAGAAAGAGGCGAGTTGCGAAACCAAGGGGCAGTGAAGCAGATGTGTGAGGAAAGCAGTGGAAGGGCTGTCCTTGTTTGAGACCTCCTTTCTCAGCTCATCCCTGAAGATGAGACTTTTCAGCCATCTCTGGGCCTCTCTTTACAAATAATGTCATTCATTAATTTATTCATTCAATCATTCATTCATTCAGTCAGTCATTCTGTAATCACAAGCTCACTGTGCGGCTACTGCCCACCAGGCACCGTGTGTAAGGATGGACGTGGACCAATGGTTGTGGGGACACAGTGGGAAGCTGGCCCACGACTGCAGTTAACAAGAGGTGACTCAGCTGGGGAGCCAGCAGGTGCTCCCCAAATATTTAAGTGTGACAGTGGAGAGGAATGAGGAGGAGGAACTGTCCACACACCTGGGTTATAAGGTGATTTGGATTTTCCTAAGGCCACACCTAGTAATACATTGTGTTTTGAAGGCAGCTCTGAACTTCCGTTTTATTTTGTGTTGATCAAAGGAAATTGCTGGTGTAAGGTCTCAAGGAATCCCCATTCTTATGGCCCCAGAAAAGAGATCATGGCAAAAAATCTTCTGGACCTGCCCCGAGTGAAGGGAAGGTGCATCTGGGCAGGTGCTCAGAGGCTGCTCACCTTCTGCCATCCTCAGTGTCACTGTGGTCAGGACACCCGGCCCCTGTCACTATGCCACCTACAGAGTGAAAGCAACTCTGGTTCAAAACAGGCATTTTAG